CTCCTGCCCACATGGCTGCAGCTGCGCTGAATGATCCTGCTGTGATCAAGCTTTTGGTGGTTGGCGAGACCGGCGATGGCAAGTCCACATTGATCAATGCCTTACGAAGTCCAGGGCACCAGGAGGCTCGCACAGGACTTGATTCTGGTGGCGTGACAAAAGAGCCAGCATGTTTCTTTGCACGCATCCATGGCAAGGATGTGTTGTTGATTGACAGCCCTGGTGTGGGTGATGAGACGGTCAATGTGGGCACACTCGTCGGGCAATTGGAGATTGCGCTTGGGACTGGGATGATCAACGGAATCATTTCTTGCTGCAAAGTGTGCAGCAACCGCATTACAATGGGTTCCAAGGTGGTACAGGCAGTGATTGACAAGGGAATTCTTGGCACAGACAAATGGGACAACATCATCTTGTGTGGTACACAGGTTGACCGTTGCGATGCCCAGGAGATTGAGAATTTCCGCACCAAGACTCTACAGGGCTTCAACAACCGTGTTGCTGGATGCAACATCACCCGTGTTGCAGTCACAAGCAACAAGAAGGAACCCCTTTTTGAGGAGTTGAAAAGGGCCATCAGTGAATTGCCTGACCAACACCTCAAATACCAGAAGCCTGATGAAGCTGTGCTTGCTCAGCAAATCAGTGACATCACCGGCATCCAAGCGCAGAAAGTCATTGAACAGATCAAGGAAGTGCATCATCATCACTATGAGACCAAGTGGTGCGTTTTGATGTGAGCCAGTGAATCATCTACATTGTAAGTTGCGGGTGAGACGTGTGGAGCCTTTGAGATGGTATACATGAACCCTTTTTCCCACGGTAGGGAGAAACTTCCCAAAACCTGACTGCTGCTTGTAATGGTGGTGAATGTAGCCACACTTTTCAGTGGCAATGATTCTCCATGTGGTTTTCGGGGTCATCCTTGGCGTCCTTGTCCTTGTCCTTGTGACCTTGTCCTTGTTGGGTGCTGTTGCTGTCGTTGTTGTTGTCCTCGTTGTCGTTGTCGTTGTCGTCGTCGTCGTCGTCGTCGTCGCCATGGTGGTGTGGTGGTGGTTCTGGTTCTGGTAGTGGTACTCGTAGTGGTAGTGGTAGTGGTAGCGGCAGTGGTAGTGGTAGTAGTAGCAATAGTAGTAGTAGTAGTAGTAGTAGTAGTAGTAGTAGCAGTAGTAGTAGTAGTAGCAGTAGTAGTAGTAGTTGTTGTTGTTCTTGTTGTTGTTGTTGTCGTGGTTGTGGTTGTGGTTGTCAGGTTGTGGTTGTTGTGGTTGTTGTTGTTGTTGTGGTTGTTGTCATTGTCGTTGTGGTTGTCGTCGTCGTCGTCGTTGTTGTGGTGGTTGTGGGTGTGGTTGTGGTTGTGGTTGTGGTTGTGTGGTTGTTGTGGTTGTGGTTGTGGTTGTTTTTGTCTTTGTCGTTGTTGTTGTCGTTGTCGTTGTCGTTGTGGTTGTGGTTGTGGTTGTGGTTGTTGTTGTTGTTGTTGATGTTGTTGTGGTTGTGGTTGTGGTATTGCACATGGTTGTGGTTGTTGTTGTCGTTGCGTGGTCGTCGTCGTTGTTGTTTGGTGGTTGTTGTTCGGTGTTTGGTGTGTGGTGTTTAGTTGTTGGCTGTTGGTTGGTTGGTGGTTGGCTGTAGGTTTTGGATTGTTGCTTGTTGTTCTTTGCAATTGTTTTTTTGTGTTGGTTGAGGTTGTGGTTGTGGTTGTTGTTGTCGTTGTCGTTGTCGTTGTGGTCGTGGTCGTGGTTGTGGTTGTGGTTGTTGTTGTTGTCGTTGTCGTCGTGGTTGTTGTTGTTGTTGTTGTTGTTGCTGTTGTTGTTGTTGGTGGTGGTGGTGGTGACCATTCTTGCTTCACTTGGATTGTGAATTGGGCCCATGGATTTAAACGTGAAATCACAGATGTTATTTGATGTTATGAGATGTTCAGTTGCAAAAAATTGGCCTGAGGATCGCTTTGTTCCTCGAATACACTTTCAACATCTTTCAACACGTTTCAATCCAACTATCGGGACTTGAGTGAGCCCTATCCCATAGAAAGAAAAAGGTTCCACATCGATTGCCCGGATTTTGGCACCTACGTTTTTGACAAATCACTTGAGTGCAAAACAGAGAACACTGGCAGCAGACTGTTGGAATTGCATGGAACTGCAGGGATAGTCAAGGAAGTCTCTCGGTAGTTTCTATCTAATGTATTGAATGGATCTCCTTGGGTCGATCTCATTGCTGTAGGTTGCTATGGCCTATTTGGCCTATTGAAAGACTGACGGTTTGAAGTTGTTTGAAGGAACTTCACGAGAAACCTGTTTTTGACTAAGTGCCGGACCACTTGGGGCCATTGCAATGTGCGAACTATACCACAGTCAGTACGATATAGATTGCACGCATGTCTCACCTTTACCTCCGCCAATAACTTTTGGCTCAAGCGCCCCATAAGGAAAAAGATCGTGCTGCATGCCATTGCAAGCGTGAGAAACGGTGTTGACTTCAGAACACAATTTAAACCGGACATAGGACTAACCATAACCCATTCTCAGGTTATCAGCCGTACCTGCGGTACGTGCTTTGGGACCAACTGTACCGGATATATCGTGACTGAGATCAGCTGTGTCCATAACTGCCGTGACTTTGGTTAGAAGGCAAATCACCTAGTACGGAAGGGTAACCTGGTCTACGACCGGTGCCTGGAAGGAACGATGACGAACATGAACTCAGGTAGCAATGACTCAGCATATTCCTTTGGCGACAAAAGGCTTGCATTGCCTGCAACTGAAGCCAGCAACCCATCGCCCGACGACACTAGCGGATCTAAATCATGGCACAGAGTGGAGAAGACACCTACTCATAAAACACAACGACAACGATCGAGATCTGCGTCTCAGCATTCTCAACGGTCTTCCGGCAAGAGGAGTGATCGGGGGGACAGGTCGGACGAGAGAGGGAAGATTGAAGATGCTAAGAGAATTGAGGAATTACTTGCTATCCGAGAGACACACATCAACCGGATGATAGAGTATGAAGAAGAGAACAATGAATTGAAGATGCAAGCAAATGGAGTTAGAAATGCACTTGCTTTCGTAGAACATAGATCTGCAACGGTATTCAACGAATACACGGAACAATGGAATGCAGAGATGAGTGCAATGTATCAGAGGATCAATCACCAACATCAAGAGCTATTGGAGGCTACCCAGGAAGACATGGGTGCAGGAATGGGGATTGATGAACTCACACAACAAAGGGATCTTTCAGAAGACCAGGTAAGAAGATTGAGTGAAATAATACTCCAGATGAGAAGCTCCTTCGAACAAAGAATGCATGAATTTCAACAGCAATCCGAAATTAGAGTTCGTGATGTGGAAATGGTAGCGCAAAACATACAGGATAGAGGAATCGAAATGCAACGAGACTATGAATCACGAATTGTCCAAGCCAGCAACGATAACTATGAAGATGCTGCCAAGAAGGTTGCAATGTATCAACTTCGCATGGTTTCCATGGAGAACCAAATGATCAAGTTGGAGATAGAGGCTCAGGAAGCAAATGACCTGAGGGATGAAGTGAAGAGAAATCGATCAGCATACGCAAAATTGGTCGAGAAGCACAATAACATGTGCGATGTCTCAATGGCCAATCTGGATCGCTTAAATTGCCTGAATAAAGAGAAAGCTGAAGAAAGGGAAAGATCTGTGGAAATGATTGAGAAGTATGATGCAGAACTTAGAGCAGCAAAGACGAAAGAACATCAAGTAAGTAACCTCAGAGCCGAGTTGGAACATTTGAGGAGGTCGCATGAAATCGGAATGAGAAACCATGAGGAAAATTACATAGCCATGATCGGTGAACTGAGGGATTCCGAAGCAATCATGATGGAAAGGATGAATGTCGAATTGAATAGTATCAGTGATGAGTTGAACTCGGAAAGACAACGTCATGATAACCTTCGGTATCGTCACAAGATACTCATGGATCGAACTCATAGCAGTCCTGCGATCACTGATGGCGTGATGAGCTCGTCAATGAACGAACTCGAAAACGAGCTCGCCGTAAGCGAACGTTCCCTTGATGCCTCACGAAGCGAAGCATCAGCTCTCCGCAGCCACAATTCCCATTTGGAATATCGGGTAAAGAGTCTCCAATCTGGAATTCGGAATGAATATGGTGTACAGGAACAGAACTCCATCGACCGCGACTCCGAGATGAAGGAGGTGATCAGACAGAGAAACAGCTTACAAGAGCAAGTATCCAATCTGAATGGAGATCTATCAGAATTGGAACGTAAACTTAGGGAACAAATGAGTGGACCCATGCTTGAGGATAGAGGTATGGTACCTGAATCAGCGACCCTACGTTTACAATTGGAAAGAAGAAATCGAGAATTTACATTACTGTCTGAGAACGAAGAATCAAAACTCAAGTTCTTTGAGGATCAGATGAAATCAAGTAAATTACTAGAACAGATGACCGCATTTGATCTGAAGAACATGAAAAAGGACCTCCAGAGTGCGAAGGAAGAACGTGACAAACTGCGTTCAGAGCTCGCAGCCCCACCAGGTCTTGGTGGAGTGTCGATGTACCATTCTATGAGTGGGCTTCAATCACCCATGTCATCGAATGGAATCAATGAGTCCAGTACCACCAATCATTTGAGGACTGAATTGAATGTGATGCAGTCAAGAATGATTAGGGAGCGAGAGGAATGTAGCAAGATGAGGCTGAAAGAAATGGAAGAGCAAACGTTGTTCAAAGAGATGGAAAGAGAAGCCGACCATCAGAAGGCTAGAGCTAACAAATATCGTGATCGGTCTGATGAGTATCAAGTATGGTACGAACAGGAAGAACAGTTTGCCGAGGAAGAAGAGGCTGAGGTCCGAGCTGCGACATCCGAGCATTCGTCTTCCAAAGTGACAAGGAAGGAAGCCGACAAGATCGACATTCGTGATTGGCCTAAGCTGAACGACATCAGCGTATGGAAATCGAATGTAGTTCAAGCGGTCTACACTGCATCAGCTGATGATGGCTTGCAGAAGTGGAGTGATTGGTTGAAACCGGCCATGGATAGGATGCCAGACATGAAGGTACTCGCCAGTTCTGGTGGTAAGGAATTCCAATCCATAGATACCAAGTTATCCATCGCGTTGCAGAAAGTCATCAATGGTGCGGGGGAAGCCGGTCGAGATGTAGCCATGCAACTAAGACTACTGACCAACTCCAGAGGTGAAAACAATCAATTCGTGATGGGAAGAGAAATTCTAGCATTGATATTGGAGAACTTTAGGACTTCTTCGAAAGATGAAACATTATTCAATGCTGAAAATCTTCACAGTTTGATGTTCCCTGGGGACAACAAATTGGATGAATTCTATCAAAGATGGAGAGAAATCATCGCTGGTATGAAGCCCCAGGACATCCCATCTAAGGAGACCCTCCGTGACAGTCTTGTGAGAAAGTTGAAATCTTCAAACAAACTGCAATTGGATTTGAAACTTTATGATCATATGGATGACAGTGATCCCAACAAGACGTATGATTATGTGGAACGTATGATCACAAGAACAATATCCAAGCAGAGGGAAGATAGGAACATTGCGGCAAAGGACAAATTCGCCAGAGAATTTCAATTTGGTGGAAAGGTCACGGTACCCGCTGCAACAAGTGCTGCTGCATCGAGTGCTAAGGAAGATAAGTCCACCAAGAGCGAGAAGACTCCTGAAAAGAAAGGAAAAACTGAAAAGAAAGGTAAGAAAGAAGCTGAGCCTAGTGCGGCGCCCGTACTACCTTCTCAAACCCCTCGACAGCATAGTACTGACAACAAGAAGAAAAAGGGCAAAGGAAAAGGTAGTACCCGATCACGCTCTCCTGCGAATGTAGACAGGAAGAAGATTCCATGCGCATTCTATTTCAACAAGAATGATTGTAGGAAAGGGAAAGAATGCCAATACAGTCATGACCAAAGGGTGAAGGACAACTATCGAGGAAGGAGTAACTCTTGTGGTAGAAGCTCCAGATCGAGTTCAACAAACAATTCTAGGACTCCTAGAAGTTCTAACAGAAGTGAATCACGAGACAAATCCAAGGTAGATTGTCATCACTGGAAGCGTGGAAATTGCAAGTTTGGATCGAGATGCAGATTCAAGCACGATCCTGACAAGAAAGGGATGAGCAAGAAGTCGAATGCCACACCAGCTCTTGCTTCCTATGATTTTTGTAGTGGTGATGAAGACATGAATGAGGACATTGGTGTTTCGAAGATTGCAATCTTGAGGAGATGTTCGAAAGGGAAAGTTCGATTTGATGATCATCCCGAGATAATCAAGATTCGATATGAAGGATATGATCCGAAGGTCATGAGGGATTGCAGCACCAAAAGTGGTAAAGGTAAGAAACAGTACACCACTGCAGAACTTATGAATGATCAACAGTTCGTTGAAGAGAACCATCTTGCCAAGTTGTCAGCGCGTGCGCAGGCGATCATCTTGGATGAAAACAGTGACATGCAGGGAATAGATGAAGTCCTTATTGTCATCGGCCCACAATACGACAGGATGATCACTCTTAATGCGCATGTGGAAGAGGAAGACTTTGGTGAAATGATATTCCAAGAGACGTTTGTTCGACACCAATCTGCAAAGGACGGACAAGATGGGATGAAATCCACTAAGGTTGGAAGGTTTGGAAATAGGTATGCTATGGCTTATTCTATCCAACGTAGGGACAAGAGGTTCATTGTCGATTGCGGTAGTGGTCACGATCTAATCTCATTGAGAAGAATCAACAGAATGGGAGTTGAAGGTTACCATGGAGATGAGGTGCATTTCCATACTGCCGGTGGCTTTACCACCACGTCCAAAATGGTAGATCTGGATTTTGGTGTTTTCGACGAGCCAATTAAAGCTCATGTTCTCGATGAAACACCTGCCGTGTTGTCCATGGGACTCCGATGCATGGAGCAAGGTTGTTCGTTTATTTGGCCGAATGGAAAAGAACCATATATGATTACAAAGGATGGAAGGAAAATTCAGCTGAAGACGAATGATTATATCCCATATATCGACATGGACAATGAAGAATTGATCGAGGACAAAGATAAAGAAGCATTCATGATTCATTCAATTCTAAATGGTAGTGACACTGGCAAGAATGCACGATCAAGGGTAATCACCATTGGTAACGACGATGAAGCAGAGGTGCAAAGTGAGCAATCGATGGATGATGGCGATGATCATGTGGTCTACGACCCAGATCGAGAAAAGCATCGAGCGAGAAAAGATGATCATGTGGCCCACGGCCCAGATCAAAAGGAGCATCACTTAGGCACCCATCGTTCGAACCAAAAGAGATTCAAGAAGAAATCGAAGGAGAATAAGAAATCGCATCGCGAAATCACATCCGATTGGTCATCGCTGTCCGATGCCGCAGCAGCTACAGAAGATGGCGACGGTGACGACAATGAGGATGAGTACGAGCCTAGTATCTTGGATCCTGCAGAATTAGGCGAAGGTCGCGGTGTGGGTGAGGTAGAACATGAGGAGGACCTTGGAGATGTTGAAGGGGATGATGATGTCCTCGACGTGGATGGTGAGAACGGAGAAGTTCGACTGTCTAAAAGAGGAACCCTTAAACATGAAGCCAAGACTCTCAATCATTTGCTCACACATAAGTACAAGAATCCCTATTGCAATTCCTGCGTGAGAGCCAAAATGAAACATTTCAAGACTCGAAGAGGAGCATTCAAAAGGAAGCTCGAGAAGTTTGGTGATCTGATCACATTCGATTTCATCGACACCAAGAAGATTCACGAACTAGGTCATATGCTTGAGAAAGAGATTCTGGTTGTGAGGGATCGATTCACAGGAATAATCCAGTCATATCCATCTGTCAACAAGCATACCTCTGACGTAGTTCAAGCCATCAAGCAATTTATGGGAGCCAGGAAGATTAGAATGGCATACTCGGACAAAGCTCCACAATTTGAGAAAGCCATGAAGTATCTGCGGATCCCATTTGATCACTCACTGCCGGGTAGAGCTCAAACAAATTCGTTGGCTGAAAGAAACAATCAGTTTATAGTCACTGCGACGTCGACGTGTTTGTTGGAAGCTGGGTTACCACCATGTTTCTGGACACCGGCAGTGGAATGCGTAAGTCATCTATTGAATATAGAGCCTGATGATGATGATGACATCAACCCATGGTGTAAGTTACATGGCGAGAATTTCAAGGGGGAAGCTATTCCTTTTGGAGCAAAGGTTTATTTCAAACCTAGCACAGCCAGAAAGAATGAACAAGATCACAAGTTCGATCCAAAAGGGATACCTGGCATATTTGCTGGATATGAAGTAACTACTGGATGTGGATGGTCCAGGCAATATAAGGTATGGTCTATGACGGACATGGCCAAACAGAATTTGAGTTACGACTCCGTCAAACCAATCGAAAAGCTTAGACAGCCACATCTCACAGAGAAGGTAGTACTTCACTTGCCCATAGAATTCCCATGTAAGAGAGAGTATGAACGAATCAATACAACAATTGAGGGTCTTCAGGACAAGGAACGACACCAGGGACGCGCCGACGTCATCGAAGATGAATATCATGACGGTGGGGGTCGAGATGACGGAGATGACAACGACGGTGACGATGATCATCCTGATGGTGGAAGGAAGAAGGTATCGATTGAAGGAGAAGAACATACATCGCATGAGAAAATGGATCACGGGATCGCACGTGAGCCACGCTCCAGCGAGTCAGAACCAAAGGTCGTAGGTGAGTCACACTCCCACGATCAAGAGGTCGAGGTCACACGTGAGCCACGCTCCGGTGATCCAGAAAGTCAAATCGACAGCGGGTTACCCTCAGAATCATCTGGTGGATTGAAACATTACTCTGAAGGACGGGCCGGTGACGGCATCATATATCGGAACTACCACGGTGAGAAGGTGAAGCTCGACAAGAGAGGGCGGACATACCGGGTGGGTGATGATGGTGTACGTATAACATCGGTTGAATCACCGAGGATCCCAGGAGGTTTCACACCAGAAGAATGGAGAGGGTTATCTTTACGTGTTCGTGATAGTGAGAAAAGACGGATTGCAAAGGAGAAGGAAGAAGAAATACTAAAGAGAAGAAGCGAAGAACATGAAATGAAAGTGTTTGAAGATCCTCCTCCTAGACCAGCTCTGAAACCCGTAACCAAGAAGAAGAAACCCGCGAAGAAGGATGATAAGAGTAAGGATGCAGCCGTCAATGTTCTCCCATATCATGGATATCTGTCATCCTGTGGTCATGATTCCGACACTTCGTGCACCGACGCTCCGGACGACAATGATTTTATCACTGAATGGGAAGAAAAGGCTGAAATAGAGCTAGGTCATGGACCGAAAGCTACATGGTCTAACTCACAGATGTATGACCTTTGTCAAAGAAGAATTATCGCCATATCGAAGCCTACTCACCGAAAAGCTTGTGTAAAGAATGAGAATAGATCATACATTCCCAGCATGCCATGCATCAGCTCAGCCAACCATCACCGGGTCAAGTGCGATGCCGGCGATTCTCCCGGAATACAAGCTATGTACAACGCTATGGTCTCGAGGCCCGTCGGGAGAAAGGAAATGATGGAAGATCCTGATGTAAGTCCATGCGGAATGAATGGCTAGGTCAACATAGTCAGGGAGTCTAAGATTTCTGAATCGTAAGAGAATATGACGATGTTGTGAATGAAGCTAAACGAGAAGGCAAGGAAGTTCATATGGCAAGAATCCATGGTATTTGCGTCGAGAAGAACTATCAATTACCTAAAGGAGATCCTAAGAGGAAATTCAAAGGTCGAGGTGTGCTCCTCGGAAATCAAGTAAAGAATCAACATTGGGAAGCAGCTTTCTTCCAAGATCTCGGGAATTCACCAGCTACGTTCGAAGCAGCCAGATGGGCAGATTATTATGGATGTCTACCAGGACACAATGTACAACTTGCTGATGCAATTCAGGCATACATTCAAGCCAAACTCACGGGGCCAGCATGTTGGGTTGAGCTTCCAGATGATGCATGGCCAGATGACATTGACTTTAAGAAATTCCGCAGACCAGTGGTGCGATTGGTTAAAGCGTTATATGGCCATCCCGATTCCGGCACCATGTGGGAACAACATTGCGATAAGCATGTATGTGAACTAAACTTTGTTCCCATGGGAGAAGAATGGCCATCCATGTATTTTCACAAGGAACTCAAGCTCATGCTGGTAATCTACGTGGACGATCTAAAAATGGCAGGGCCCAAGGAGAATCTCAAGAAAGGTTGGGAGATGCTCAGAACTAAGCTTAAGATTGAACCAGAAACTGAACTCGGCCTTTACTTGGGATGTAACCTATCAAAGGGTCAAGCTAAGTTGTACGACGGTACAAGCGTTGCCACCATGACATATGACATGGAAGGATTATTGAAATTATCGGTTGAAAAGTATCTTGACATAGTGGGAAAGGATACTAAGTTGAAGATTGTATCCACCCCTAGCTTACCGGATGAAACTAAACAACACAAATCAAGGACACCGACACCCGGGGATCCCAAGAAATCAGTGTCGTGTCCATGGTGTTCTCACAAGTTCGATCCAGCTTACTTGGTCAACGGGAGTTCCGGGACCGGAGAGAAGGACGTCAGCTCTCCGGATGCTCCGCGTGGGGAATTAGCACCTCATGCTGCAAGCATGTTGATGAAGCTACTCTATGCGGCAAGGATCGCAAGGTTTGACTTGTTGAGATCAATCAATAACTTAGCACGGAATGTGACAAAGTGGTCGATCAATGACGACGCCCAACTTTATCATTTGATGTGCTATGTCAATTCAACACTCAAGAAACGTATGATTGGATGGGTCGGAGATTCCATTGAGGAGCATTCCATCGCTCTATATGCGGATGCCGATTTCGCAGGGTGTAGTCAGTCGCTTCGATCCACCTCAGGGTCACATATGCACATACAAGGCAAACATACTCGCTTCCCTCTCGCCGGAGGCAGTAAACGTCAAGGTTGTGTGAGTCATTCGACCCCTGAGGCTGAGATAGTAGCTGCAGATGTCACTCTGCGGACTATGGGACTCCCATCCATAAGCATATGGGAAACTATCACTGGACGTCACCCCCAGATACTGTTCCATGATGACAATCAGGGTATGATAGGTGTCGTCCGATCTGGAAAGAATCCCACTATGAGACATTTAGAACGTACTCATGGGATATCAATTACATCTTTACATGAGCAATTCATCAATGAACACTTTGTGTTGATGTATGAAATCACGACCAAGATGGCTGCCGATATTCACACCAAAGGTTTTCGGAACCCTCTTGCATGGCAAAAGGCATGTTGGTTGATCAACTTATTGGAGCCCCAAGATTTGTCATCCAAGTTGCTGGCCGATCTGGTGTCTCCGACCACTGATGTTGATACCACCAAGCGCCAGGTGTTTCAGTCGAAAACAGATCAGATACCTAATTTTCCATATACTGAAACCCCAATTTTGCCACCTGAAGTCTATCGACCAGGGCTGACCGCCAAAGAGAAGTTGCAACAAGTGCCAGGTATGGATCCCATATTTGTGGTCAAGACACCAGTGCTCTACAGGAAGCGCCCAGCTGGGACCGACTTGCCATGGAACTGTACACGGAGTACGTGGGTGCTGCTCAATAAGAAGTGGACCAAAGTGGAAGACCATGCTGAACCAGTACAACAAAGTGAACGTTTCGACAAATGGGTTGAAAGAGCATGTTTTCAGTATCATCCACCAAACCAAGTAGCATCTGCGATGAGCGCCACGCGCCACCAGAGTGCGGCAGGCGAGGATGTGGTCCACGACCCACCCGCACTCACCGTAGGTAGACGATCGGCAACATCTCATGAGTCCGCTCCACAGCTAATGGTTTCCACTGAAGCACTTCTATCAGCAACGTCGGACAATGTGATGGACAACTTCGCGTCGATCCATGTCGGTGCACCCCAAGTACTTCGTATGATCAATACGCTACTGCGCATCGTTCATGGGGGGAGTGATGGGGCCCACCTTTCGACCATTGTAGATAGATATGCAACCCCTGTGGTAAAAGAGAAGAATGAAAATGAGGTAAAGACCTTTGGGAATATGACAAAACAAACAACACCATTACAAGAATTCATAAAATCGGAAGAAGATCACCATTTGTTCCACACGATGTCGATGATTGTCCAGTGTCGATACACAGTATCAAGGATGAAAGGACTACAACCATGAAATATCAATCGAGTGAAAGAAGTATGGATGACAATTGGAGACTTTGTGGGAACAATAACGAGGTGACCAACAGAAGAAACGAATTCTGGACGGGAAAGACTGTATTCAGTGTGGCACCCAGCGCCAAGATCCAGAGTGATGATCAAGTTCCGGAAACGGATGGATCAAGGATTAGACTGTGCGTGGGATTCCCCAAGAATAGGTTGATTCCACTGAAAGATTTGTTTGTTGGATACAGATACCGAATGAATCGAACTGAATCCAAACCGAATAATGAAGGGAAGGAGAAAATCATCCTCAGACTTATTCGAAATGACAAGAAATATCACGAAGTTGAGTTCGTGAGATCACCTACTGATCTAGCCACAACTGACTATACAGGGTATGATATCCGTTTGGAGATAGAGGAAATTCCGAAAGATGTCCCAATCCTGACGCTTATGTGTGCTGAAGTGAAGAGCAATTTAACCAAGCTACATGCGAAAATCAGGGACCCAGAATTTCTTCTTGTCACAATCACGGAAGACGACAATCTTCTCTCACCATATGGAAGATGGAAATGGAAGAGATGTGTCCGATCGGAGCTCGATGGCGTATTTTTTGCAGGTCCATGTGCAGGAGGATCCCCTTGGAATCGGTTGAACAAAAGGATCAGCGAGATCACCGCTCACCAGATTCGTATGAAGGCATCTACATACTGGAAACTTTGGGAAGAATTCATGTGCTGTCTAGATGTCGTCACGGAATTGGGGGGTATGGGGTTGATCGAACTGCCTAGGGGATGTGACTATTGGAGAGATAGCAAAATGATAGGTTTGATCGAAGGAACGATCAACCATGTACAGGACTTTGATGGATGCATGTACGGATTGAGAGCTGAACACAGTAAGACCAAAAACCCAATCAAGAAACCATGGAGAGTCGTCTCATGGCGGGTTAAGATTGATGGTCTGGACCGAAAATGTGATGGCTCACACGAACATGACAAGTGCGAAGGCAAAGATACCAAGTTGACTCAATTATACACCAGTCAGATAGTGGGTACAATCTATAGAGCAATCAGTAGAAGAATCATAAGACGGGAAAGAGAGAATGTCAAGTCGTTCGGAATCATCCAGGAGTCACAGACATAGGCTGAGAGTTCACAAAGCAGCAGCACCGTGTGTTCAACGTCTTCATCGGTGTTCGCTGAGAACTCCAGGTGGTCTACGACTCCGGAGTAACCTCATCGGCGCGCCCGGACAGTACGAGTGGGTGAGTAAGCGAACGCCAAACGTGTGTCTACGACTCCATTGGCTAGTAGTTGAAAACCTTATCGTGCTTGTCAGAGCCATGGTGCATTCTACAGGACAAAATCCAAAAGTGATGATGGACAACCTCCTCAATGCAGTACAAGACCGAGTCAGGTTCATCATGACAGGAGACAGCACAGTCAGACTACTGCCTCCCAAAATTGGTACAATCGACGAAAACTTTCGCGAGTGTTCCGAGGGCACCATCGATGCCTGGATTAGTTTCGGAGTGAACCCAGTCGTAGTCGTATCTGCTGCATTCGTGTCCCAGCGACGCAATGCAAGACACATACAGCATACAGCAGCTCTTCTCAAGAAATTCCTACTGCAGGTGAAGGATGAAGGTGAGAAGGCGGCTAACGCACGTGAATTTATTGCCAGAGCGACCAAAGCGACGAACACCATGAAACTACATGCGAAGAAAATCATGATGAAACGGGATGTACGAGATACGGATGAAGGGAAACAGTTATTGCTGCATAAAGTCATCTCGGAGGAGTGTCTTGCCAGGATCAGTGAATTTTGGGATGTCCTGAAGGAATTCTACTGCCCCAAGCCGATCAGTCCAAAGATTACAATCTCCGAACTGACTGACGTGATCATTGATTACGTGGCGAAGATGGAGATGGGAGGAATGATTCCAGTGAACAAGACAATTCCGAAACCGGGTACATCATTGGCATTGACCCGTGGGAAAGATTTCCATGACATTGTCTACAACGTCTATGACCTGACGCCCGATGCTAATGGAAGTGAAAATGTAGACAACATTATCCATCGGATTGGGCACCACTTGAACGTTCAGTTGACCGGCCTCGGGTATGCCTTGAGAAAACACAATGGGAAACATGCGGCGGACGACGGGAAGATGATCTTGATCAAAGATGTCCTTGATGACTTCATGTCGATGAATGAAAATCTCCCGGTCGAGCGCGCCGCCGCCGTGAATCATTTGGCGTGCGTTATGATGGTTGGGAGAGCGCTTGGTGCGTGGCTGATCAGAGGTCAAGAAGCTGTGTCAATGCCATCCAACCACGGGAACATCAAGTTGCGAGCCCAGGTGGAGACTCTCAAAAGCTGGAAGGACGAAGTCTTGATGTCGATCGATGTGCCTGAAGAGATCTTCTTGAGCGCAGCATACCACATTGGAAGAGCAGAAGATGCCATCTATGATGCAATCAGAGACCGGAACAGGTGTTTTTCCATCATCAGGAATTTCACGACTGCAATAGGCGAATCGCAGTATCCCCACACGCACATTGATGGGCATGACGTTCCACTGAGGTTTACCGATGGAAGACTCCCGAGTGAAAGACTCAAGAATGAGCAATTTTTTCACATCCCATTTTGGGACTGGGAGAGGACTCAACCCCAAGGTGGTTCTGTCCCGACAGCTGAGGCATCAGCGTCATCATCGTCGGCATGTGGAGCAATTCCGAAGACGAAACCACAAACAAAGAAAATGCCGACGCCACCACCAACACCTCCTCCGACTCCCAGGGACACGAGAAGACACAAACTTTGGGTTGTTGCGCTTCCTCCCCAGGGCGTCTATGAGATGTTGTTGCACAAGAAGGACCATGAAGGTGGAGATTTCAAGATCAAACTCAATTTCGATCAAAACATTCAAAAGTTTATCCTTTCTCACATCCAGGGACCAATGATCAACACAAATGGATCTCCTACGGATGCACAGTTGTGGCAGCAGTACACCAAGAGGCTCACGGCATACCTGTGCACTGTGTTTGACCCAATGCACCCCAATTTGCTCACGAGTCAAGATGATGCTGAAATGTCTGGAGACACATGGCTTCGATTGTACAATCATGTGTTGAAGGTCTCAGGTCTTAGGGAACTTGGGTACTACTTGAACACTGAAGCAATGATCGTACTCTCCGGCACCGCCACACCAAATGAGTTCTCAACTGCAATGAGGGAGCAAGCGAAGAAAATCCGAAGTGAGATCGGCAGTAAGCCCATTGATCAACCCTGGATGAGGCCAAACCAGGACGGTCTTGCCGGACATACCAGAGGAGGAACCACCATCATTCTCACTGATCTGGTGTATCGGGTGACTTCTGCATCTAGGGCAGTGGAAGATCTGTTCTCGGGATTGAGCGATTTGGGATGGGAGACCAACGTCATCAATATCGAACTCGGTGACAACAATGCATTAGGACGTCTCACCAATGCCGTCAAGGAAGTGATCAAGATCCTGAATGAGAAGAAAGATGATCATTCCAGAACCACTGTGCACGTATGGTTGTCAATGGCATTCGGACTAAAGAATACGCCGCCATACACATCATTGCTCGACGATGAGACCATCAAAGGGTGTGTCGAACAAGTGATCAAAATTGATGATGCATCATCCAGGCCAATCATCGTTAGCGTGAATCACAGTGATAGTTTCCTAGGGGTCAAATCACAAATCGAAGTTTATGCCAAGGCAATGATCAGGGACCTAAAGGAAAGCAGGATCATCACTTCTGGTGAAACAAAGATGTGGCGAAGCATGTATTCCGTTGGGGGGAATCACTATCAGAGGTATCAAGGATCAGACAAGCGTGCTATTTGGGCAGCATGCGAGAAGTGGCTGTTCCGTCAAAGGATGATTCTGATGTGCTCAATGGATAGAGACGTCGTGAACAATCTGAATGGGCAAGCGATGATGACAGTGAAGGTTGGCATCCGTCCGGAAGATCTGCGTCAGTGCACCAGACCAATCTTATCGAGCCCTTCAACTGGAGAAGTTCCCCAAGCACAGAGAACTGCAGGTGGCCCAGGCTCCGCAAGAATGTGCCTTGGAAAGAACCAACCAAGGAAACGAACGAATTGAAGGTGATGAGATCGAGTCACGAACATTGGTTGCCAGTCAAGCCGGAATGGGGCCAAGAATTGTTGTGTGATCTATGCCAGAATGACCCACATGTCAACACCAGCACAAGGTCTGAGAACGCATCATACTGCATCGTTTGTTGTTCAAACGCCAGCACAGAACATGCGGGGGTCAAGGGCATCAGCATCAACAAGAGGAGAAAAGACTTCGCTCTGATCGCAAAATGCGCATTCAAATTGCCCTCGAAAGGATGGAGATGGGACAAGGGCCAGAACTCAACATCGAATCCGATCTCAAGAACTTTCTGCTTAATGTAGCCCACGGTCTCATAGGCAGCAAAGGACTCAGGGGATTCTCATATGGTGAGTCGCTGATGAAAACACTATCGCACCTTGGTGGAGTACCTGTGCCTGTTGAAACAGTCAAAGGTGTGTTTCAATCAAGAAGGGGCAAACAGTACTACTGTGAAAGAGAAAACGTCATTGATGGAACCACCGGGGAAGAGATCATGGTGTTTCGCTTGCTAAACGACATCGGCAACGTGGCCTATCATGATTATCTCGTCGACCTTGCGGGGAAAGATAAGATTTCAGATATGACTGATGGAATGGGACTCAAGGCAGAGAAAGGAGGTGATGTCGTCGAATGCTGGCTTGGCATGTTGGACGTCGCTTCCAGGACGATGGAAGGTGTTGGCATAGTGATCCCTGGCGCTGAACGACCAGAAAATATGCTCACTGGTTTGAACACATCCATTGTGAAGTTCTGCAACTCGCCAAGAGTCACCTATACTCCGAACCTAAAGAGGAACAGGAATCAGTCATTCACCTCAGATGTCACCGGCGAAGAAATCGAAGAAGTCATGAGGAGAGCCAAAGAGAAAGACATGTACATGAGACCCATGGAATTTCCTGTTATCTCCAAAATGGACAAGGTAAGACTGCAGCACCGGATCGACATGATCAGGAAGAGCAAAGCTGAGGGAACTGACGCAAGATCCTCGCAGTCAGACGCCAGTGCTGAAGAAAAAGACTACCAAACCCAATTTGAGGAACAGTTCCACGGGTCAGATGACAAAGGTCGTCGACAGAGTGTGAATGATGCATTGGGAGCAGTATTCACTGCATCCGAAGAGCATGAGGTGTGTATCTTTTGTGGCAAATCTGACCATGCTCACTACGATTGCAGGCATCCATTGAAGGGTCAAATTAAGGAGATCTACAACAGGTTACGCGTCATCATCAACTCGCGGATCGACGACGCTGGAGTCACTGTACAAGGATTCTCTGATGATCTCAAGAAGAAGGAGAAGGATGAGAAGGATATAGATATGGAGGCTGAAGAAGAGAAGAAACAAGAACCTTCTCAAGAACCTCGAAATGAACCTGCCGATGAAAATCCGAACATATATTTCCTCGTTCCCGAAAGCCTATCGGATCTGGGCGACAAAGATGAAGGAGGTCAATTCTTTGTCAACTCCTACAAGATCGACAGCGACGGACCAAAGAACTCATCTCAGCTCGAAGAGATCATCGAAGACGCCATTTCAAAGAAGGGCGGATACAAGATGAGCTGCAGCAAATGGGATGTGGTTCCCGATCCAGAGGACGATAATGGATATTTCCACCGAATCAAGTTGAACTATGAGACTGGCTTTACAACCATCATCCCAACAAAAGGATGCCGTTTTGATGGGTATTTCAAAGGGGATCTTCAACATGCTGGTGTGGAATTCCGTCCGAATGAACGAATCGATCTTAATGAAAATGAAAGGGAGATCGGACGAAGATTGAACAAGATTCTCCGTCATTACATTGGCGCAAAGCAGATCTCGGGATTGGGAGGGAGGAAACATGAAGGAGTACCATGTGATGCTGAGGCATGGGTGGACATTGAAGATATCTTTGCATACCATCATATTTGGGAAACTGTCTCAGATTTCAGGTATGTCAAGGGAGACAATTCTCCTGCAAATGCCAAAGAAGCGTTCAATCGCTATGATCTGATGGTCAAGACCATCTATTTGGAAAAGCGGACCAAACGAAAGACTCGCTTCCAGATTTTGGCGCTCGCAATGGGAGAGAAGGATTATATCCCAAACTCAGCACTGATCATGGATCACCGAATGACAGACGTCACCAACAAGATCTTCAGAAGCTCCACTTTTGGACCACGTTGCAATGAATTATTCATCACACCCCTTGCAATTAGGGCAACCAGCGGATGGAGCGAGCCTCGAGAACCGCATGTGATCCTAGATGAAGAGGCACTTTCATTGCCGATAACATTGCTATGCACCCTCAACATCAAAGGAGGATTCCACACCTTTGATTTTCACAATCTATCAAGCATAGTCAAGCATGGATTACTGCCTGGGGGGATGAAGAGGGGCAGGTCTCAACTGTTCTTCAACCCATTCGCGCCATGGGACCAAAGGAGCAATAGCATCTTAATGACCACTGGAGTCTCGGCAAAAGTTCCTGCGGTGATTTACATCAACATCAGCAAGCTGATCGACTTCGGTGCAGGGATGAGTCCATCTGGACACATCGTCACAACTAAGACGATTCCATTCAGCGCCTTTTCTGGCATGTGGTACATGGACGCTGATGGATCCTGGGTGAGGCTATTGAACAGGAGAACAAACTCTTTCATAGTTCGAAAGGTCACCAGTGCTAGGATTCAGGCAAAGACGTACAAGATCGCCAAAATGGCAAGAGACATCATCATATCAATGGATGATACTCGGTCCACGACCAGATTGTCCAGAGATGTAGAAGCTCTCTTGAAGATCGAATCCATCTTTGATGCGTCGAATGAACAATGCAAGCGCCTGATTGACTTTGTTCTTGATCATTATGTCACAATGGAACCTGGGACGAGGTTATGTCCCAGTTGCTTCACCGAAATCCCAATGGACATCACAACTTGTTATCAATGTTGGGGCAGTTTGATCGCGATTGGCAAAGAGATCATTGACCTGACCGGTGGTCAAGGGCAAGGAGATGAAGAAGTTCCAACTCGCAAACCTGCACCCAAAGCGATGCCGCGGGACAAGGAAAAGGAGAAGCAAATGGACGAAGGTGATGCTATGGACGAGGAAACGAAAGAAGAATTCGCCCAAGCATCAAAGGAATACTACAAGTCCAAAGAGGATGAACCCAAGTCCAGTGACGATCAAGACGTACCGATGGGCGATGAAAGTGAATACCAGAATGCATATGACGACACAGTTCCGGATTGGGAAGCTGATGATGTTGAAGAGGACGTCGAGATGCAGGACACCGAAGGTGGTGACGAACCAAAGGATAAAGATGAAGAAGCGGATTTTGATGAAGATTATGCTGCGAAGGTACGCGAGATCCCATCATGGTGCAAATTCCCATCAGTAGGATCCAAAGTCCTTACCAAGATCCAATCGATCGGTGTTGATCCAAGCGATCAGGCAGGGACTATGATGGATGTAATGCTGGGAAATATAGTCAAGAAGGCCTACAATGCGTATTACGCGTTCATGAGGGACAAGGACTTCTTGGAATACTATGAGACGATCCTTAAGAGAGGTATGTGCATCCCTGAGACACAATTCATGGTGCCTATCGAACAGGACGCAACTGGTGTAACCACGGTCGATGAGCATGGTTATCCAGCAACCCCGTCGCAAGAATATCTCGAAGAATATTTCGATCGGAACGCAAAATTGGTCCAAGCCAACCATCCCGGTTGTCAACAACGGATGGAGGCAAGAATTGGCGACAGGAATAAGGGCATGTTCCTGGCTATGGCAAGAGGTATGAAACACATACAAAGGATCACACGATATCTCATGGAGTGCGACATGAATGGGAAACAGCTGAGCTTCTTGTTATCGGATAACCGTGAAAGGGACAAATATCGGTCTGATGACGAGAAGCTCACGCAGATGAAAATCAACCAGCATTTCATCCGCAGAGTAATCTATGGCGCATTCAACGTCAATGATCGACCAGAATTTGTAAACGATGTCAGTCTACAGACTTTCAATCATGCGTACTTCCGAGAGGACATCGATGACCCAAGATTCATCCACTTCAATCCTTTTGAAATCTACTGCACGGCTCTCAAGACTCAAAGGCATTATTCATTCCTCGTCACGATGGTATCGCAAGGTTTGACATTGCCTGAATACCTCAAGGACGATTGGGAGAGAGGAATGTACGGGTTCAAGAATTCGGATGAGGCGCTTCTTCCGGCCAACGTAGTCTCCAGTATCCGAACTCTAGCTGTCAGAGGTGATGAGCAAAATGAACCCGCTCACGACGCAGCTGCAGAGGATGAGCAAAATGATCAAACCAAGAGACAGAGAACGAGATGATGTACGTGATCTACGATCCGACAAAATCAAGTTCAATGATTGTCAATTGGAAGGATTCCATTTGCTCGACAAGAGGTACTGAGAGCCGGACAAATCTACGTAGATTGTGATGTACACATTGAAGATATAAACATTGATTTTTGAAAGGGCTACGGAACGCTGAGCTATGAATTGGTTGCGAGGATAAGACGCGTGTAAAGGTGGCTCTGGTTCAATCCCTAAGTCGGCGACGTATACTTCGTATCACGCCGATGGGGGGTGCGAACTATACCACAGTCAGTACGATATAGATTGCACGCATGTCTCACCTTTACCTCCGCCAATAACTTTTGGCTCAAACGCCCCATAAGGAAAAAGATCGTGCTGCATGCCATTGCAAGCGTGAGAAACGGTGTTGACTTCAGAACACAATTTAAACCGGACATAGGACTAACCATAACCCATTCTCACAATGTATGGCCATGTGTCAAAACCCAAGGTCGCAGCATGTCCCAGCAGTTGGGCTTGGTGAACCAACTTTGAATTGAAAGACTGATGCCGCACACGCCGCACACCGGCTCAAGTTGGAGGTTTGCTAGCATTTGTTAGCATTCAACCATTTGCATCCATTTGCTAGCTTGTTTGATCGCTGTGCTGAGAGCCATGCCACGTCTAGTGGTGTTAGGGGAAGTGGGAGCTGGCAAGTCTACACTGATCAATTCTTTGAAGGATTTCGATCAACCCTGAGCACCATCTGGTCTTGATCCTATCGGCGCAACACAGTCAGTTGCCGCCTACAAGTGCAGCATCAATTGGCAGAGCCCTGTCTACCTGTTGGACACTCCTGGTATTGGGGATGGTCGAGTCTCAGCCACGAATCTCATGGACATGCTTTTCCAACACCTTGGGCATGAGAAAGTGGATGGCATTGTGCTTTGCATTCCGATTGCCCAGTGTCGAGTGCCTTTAGGTACCCAGGTCTTACAAGCCTTGATCGACAGCTGCGTGAGGGAACATGCTCGCTGGCAAAGTGTGATCCTGTGTGGTACACAGTGTGATCGCTGCACCCATGTTGAGATCCAGAACTTCCGTCAGCAGATGTTGGCAAAAATGAAGCAGTGGGCACCCTCGGTGTTATCCGGCAATGTGGCCATCACAAGTGCAAAGCACCAGAACGGCTTTGACGAATTGAAGCAATGCATCAATCGCCTGCCAAGTCAACCACTTACTTTCACTCAGCCCACCCATGAGGTCCTGCGGGAAAATGTGGTGAGAACTACAGGTGTGCAGCCTCCACCTTTGATTGTGGAGCGCGAGGTGCATGTACATCACCACCACGGTGGCGACGGCTGTGCAATTTTGTGAGGCTGCTCAAGCACCTTCCAGGCAGACTGGTCGGACACGTGATTGGAGCTTGGTTTCTGGCTACAGTAGCGATGCGACGATAGCCTTTTTCAACAAGTTGGATGAAAAAGTTAGCGGCAGTTAGCGGTTTTAGATTTGAGTGCAGGAAATGTAGCCAAGACTCAAGTGGTTTTCAATAAGCATCATCAGGTACATCCATAGTTTGCTTCTGATATTCTTTTGATGTTTGATCTCGCCTCAATTGTCTCTCGTTTCGGGGCAAAATACTCTCATACATAAATTCTCCTTTGTGCAGCCACTTCTCAGTTGCTTTCTAGCTCTTCCCACGCACCCTTTCTCCAGAGCACCTGCCCACATGGCTGCAGCTGCGCTGAATGATCCTGCTGTGATCAAGCTTTTGGTGGTTGGCGAGACCGGCGATGGCAAGTCCACATTGATCAATGCCTTACGAAGTCCAGGGCAACAGGAGGCTCGCACAGGACTTGATTCTGGTGGCGTGACAAAAGAGCCAGCATGTTTCTTTGCACGCATCCATGGCAAGGATGTGTTGTTGATTGACAGCCCTGGTGTGGGTGATGAGACGGTCAATGTGGGCACACTCGTCGGGCAATTGGAGATTGCGCTTGGGACTGGGATGATCAACGGAATCATTTCTTGCTGCAAAGTGTGCAGCAACCGCATTACAATGGGTTCCAAGGTGGTACAGGCAGTGATTGACAAGGGAATTCTTGGCACAGACAAATGGGACAACATCATCTTGTGTGGTACACAGGTTGACCGTTGCGATGCCCAGGAGATTGAGAATTTCCGCACCAAGACTCTACAGGGCTTCAACAACCGTGTTGCTGGATGCAACATCACCCGTGTTGCAGTCACAAGCAACAAGAAGGAACCCCTTTTTGAGGAGTTGAAAAGGGCCATCAGTGAATTGCCTGACCAACACCTCAAATACCAGAAGCCTGATGAAGCTGTGCTTGCTCAGCAAATCAGTGACATCACCGGCATCCAAGCGCAGAAAGTCATTGAACAGATCAAGGAAGTGCACCACCATGGTGACCAAGATCATGGTCCCAATTTCCGGATTGCCTTTGCGTTTGGACCTTTTTCTGCGGAATGTAGGCAGATGTGATTGCTCGCGAGATTTTGGAAAACTAATCCGATGGAGCCAAAAAGGTCACCAGGACACGAGGTCCAGCAAACATCTTTGACCAGTAAACGAGCCATGAAAGGATCAAACATGTTTGCCCGTGGTTGATTGGGGCGGTCACCACTCATGACACAGGAATGATACCGTTGGTGAGCTTCTGAAACGTGATTTTTTGTTGGACCTGGGGGGATGTTACCCGGAAAATGCAGCAGAATGATTGATCCAGCTTCAGATGGCAGGCGTTGATGCATATGGAATGGGATTGGAAAAACTGGGATTGGACACCGTTGTTCCTTGCAGTCAGCTTCACCTCACTGCCAAGTTCATATGCCGGCAGGATTCACATGAGGACCAGGGTTGTGACCTTCATATGTTTGCTGCATCCTTGAACCTTCTCAGACTTGCACAGCGATCCATCATTGCACAATTGTGTTGATTCAAAAATAAACGTTGGGGTGTCTTGAATCAGTGGGAGGGACATCTTCAGTTGAAGGACTTTGAGGTAAATGATTCCAGAAAAGTGATGAACAGTTTGATAGATAGACGGTAGATACCGCTCAAAGAACATGTAAAACTGTAGGCAGTTTGAGTTGCCTATGAACACACATAAATTGTAGAATGCATCAATGCTAATATATAGCACTTGATACTTGATTCCTGAAAAAATGAGCTAACATAGAAGCAGAAATATTTGGGGTAAAACCACCAAGTTGTATAGGCTCACTTCCTTCCACCAGGTTCGGGTTTCACTTCGTCTTACACTAATTTTGGCTCAAGAAAAGTTGCAGCCCGTGCTGCCTCATCTTTGGTTCTCGTGGTATTTTGCCCGTTTACCTTACTTTCTTTTGGTTATCAGCCGGTAAGGCTCTATTAGTTTCACCTCGTCGCCGACGCCATAGTCTTTGAAGTCACCTGCTGACTTTGAGCACTCTTGTCTTTGATCTAGGGCCAAAGCCATCTACACTTTTGTGTAGAAGCATCTTAGACACCACGCCGCGCTGGGACACACCGCGGGGTGGCAAGTCGGCGAAAAGGAAATTTCGCCGGGAGATCAAGTTTTGCTTCCTCGCATTGCTCAATCAAGTTGTTGGATTGTGGGGTGAAAGTGCAAATCAATCTTGGTCGAACGACGATTCGTGGGGTGAATCTCAGAGATCTTGGAGATCCGGAGGCTGGGACAGATCTTATTCTTGGGACAACTCGTCTTGGGAACGAAATCGGTCAGGCCAACAAGGAGGCTGGGACACATCTTATTCTTGGGACGAAGCATCTTGGGATCAAGGTTCATCTGGCCATCAATATTCTCAGTCACATCGCCAGTGGCGATATTCAGATTGGAGCAGTTCTTCGTGGGAACCGCAAACTTCTGAAGTCCATCAACCGGTGGAATTGGTTGCAATTGAATCCGAAGAAGAAGACATTGCAGCCGAGGCTGAGGAAGGGGATCAACAAGATCAAGAAGAAGAGATCGAAACTCCCTACGTACTCCCAGACATTGCGCCCGTGAAATTTTTATCCGAAGTGTCCGATTGCGTCGAATCTCGTGTTTTTCAATTGCCATCTTCTTCAATCGAAGGTGTGTGTTTGATCAACTCCAGAGCAGTGGAGGGTTGCCCAGAAACTCAGAACGATTTTGATCTCGAGTTGCTTAAGACAGGCTTGAGGCCGTGCATTGCATTCGATATCTTTAAGACTCTGATTTTTCCGCAATCGCAAGCAGATACACAGCAGCGTTGCATCGGACTGGCCAAACACAGAGGAGAGCTTCAGCTGATCCATAGATCAACGGCAGAACTTCTTCAACAAGTGTCGGTCAGAGGATTTAATTGTGTGGCCATATCGTTCATCGGTCGTTTCAATCATCGTCCATACGTGGACGCTCTTCTCGAATCCTGCTTGCTAGCACTTGTTCCTATCATCTTCGTGGTGTTTCATAGGCACGAGAAAGCTCAGCTGGCAAAAGATCTTGAGTGTGTTGGAGCATTTGACGATCAAGAGGCTTTGGTGACAGCATACAGGCGAGCCGGTGTGCCAGCGATCCAAGTGACGCGACAGTTCAATCTCTACAAGAACACTGATCAAGCTCTTGAGTGGATCGAGAGGCAGTGGAACGAGAACGATCAAGCAGCATCGTCGTCTGGGGGAAAAGAAGGGGCTAGTGTCGGGCAGCGAACCGTGCGCGCCGACCCGTAATAGTTCCATTGAAAAGTTGAAAGAGGGTGCAATAGTTAGTAACTGATTTCTGGTTCATTTATCGCATTTTTCCACCCAAGGTGCAATCATGTCGAATGTTCCAGTGCCAATGAGTACATCATCTGATGCCAGTGGCGGGGTCAATGCCATGCAAGCTGCAATTGCCGATGAAAGTTCGTCCTCAACTTCCCAAGCATCTCCGGGTCAGGTCATTCCAGCTGAAGCCATTGAGAGAGAGAGAACTCCAAGGATAAGTCCTGGGTTGACAAGTGGGGCCAATCTATTGATGCAAAGAAGGATGGAAGAGAACACAAATGTTCACAATCAGCAGTTTGTAGATGAAAGTCAAACTAGACAAATGTTGATTGATGCTAGGACGTTACAAGTTGGTATGCAGATTGGAGTTGATCCATCGGTTCGCCAAGAAGCCATTGAGAGGCATGGGATGATTGTAAGAGAAGAGCAACAAGTTGCCATGGAAAGACATGGTACCTTTGTGAGAGAGGAGAGACAATTAGCTGAACGTAATCATGAGCAGATCCTTCGAAATGCACTTGAAGAATCCAGTCAGGGGGCCAGGATCCAGGTTGAGGGTGTAGTCCAAGATGCATCTCGTCAACACCAAGCCCTTGTTAGACAGTATGAATCTCATATTGCACAGCTTCGTTCTCAGCTTGAACAGTCTCGTTCTCGTTTTGATCAATCTGTAATGGATCTTCAAAAGCAACGTGCTAATGAAATCCGCCAGTTGAGGGAAAATCACGACCATAAGATTGAAAGCATTCTTGAAGGTTACTCCAAAAAGTCCAGGGAGTTTGAGGCATTGAAGGCCGAGCGTGAGCTACTTCTCGAGGCTCTTGGCGTGACACTTCCGAAAGAGTCGGCTGAGAGTGTTCAGGAGAGCAGCGAAGCCGCGCCTCCTCCGAGGATTGATCGGGGACAAAGTAGTAGCAATCCATTGGTTGCAAGAGTACTGTTTAGTGAACTGGAAGGTAATGATCATCAGGACAAAGTTGAAGGCATTCCTAACTTGGACTTTCTCAAAGAGAATGATTCAAATGTTTATGCCACTGATTCAGCTGAATCCGATCCGCCTCCCGTGCCAGCTTCGCAGCTCGACCCAGTGATTGCCGCACTTCAGGAACAAATCCAGAACCTCAGGGATGATATGCAATCGCAAAGCAAGAAGAAAAGCAAAGCTGTTAGTTCTTCAAGTTCGAGTTCAGTTTCATCTCAAGAGATTGATTCTGAGTACATCAGAGAACAGAAGCTAATGCGACTGAAAGCCTACGAGAAGATCAAGATTCCAAGCCTTCCCAAGTCAGCAGCTGAAGTGAGGACATGGAAGAATTCACTTATCTCCCAATTGGTTTCGTGTTGCAAGAGTAGTGAGAAGGAACTTCTTTCTTGGCTTCAACGACCATTAGACGGAGATGAGGAGCATGCAGGAAGAGCACCAGAGTTTCCTGTGTTGAATCGTGTCCTGGGGTCTAAGTTGCTAGAACTATCTAAAGGAAACAGATTTTCGATCGACTTTCAATCGCTGCAGGAGCGAAGCGTTCGAATTGGAATGCAGGCACCTGGGCTTTTGTTGGTGGCAAAGATATGCAAACGGTTCCGGTTGGACAAAGAGAAGGGTATGTCACTTTCACAGCAACATTTGCTATCATTAAAACCGCAAGGGGTTGAGATCAAAGATCTTGAAATCTTTCGGGACAGAGTTGAGTTTATCCTTAGCAGTCTCGAGACAACAGAGTACCCCTCAGAGTCAATTCTCAGAACATGGTTGTATGCTTGTTTGAAAGCCACCCCGAAGTTGAACCTTAGAGTTGACAAGTTCCGGGAAGCTGCAACTGGTTCATCCTACCGAACTTTTCAGTATCTTTGGCAATCCATGTTGGATGTAATAGATGAAGCACAACATGATCAGAACACGACATCCGTGCTTTCTACACTGCGTGCCAAAGTTGATACTGCTGCTGCACAAGCCACCGATGACAAGAAGAAGAAAGACAAGAAAGACAAGAAAGACAAGAAAGAGAAACAAACTCCGGAATCACCAGCTGCCCCATTCACACCAAAGGCCAAGCCAAGTGCGAAGGCAGATCCGAAGGCCAAGCCTAAGGCTTCTGCCAAACCTAGTGGAGATCCAAGATTTAATAGAAAAGGTTGTAGCTGGTGAGAAAGGATACCCATGTTTGTTTTATGTTTCAGGTACTTGTCGCAGAGATCCGTGCCCAAATGTGCATGATACATCCAGTGCTCCGAAGGCAAAGCCCAAGGCCAAGTCGCTGCAAGCCTTCCAAAGGCTAGTGCCAAGACGTTCCCAAGGTTCAAAGCAGTTGCAGCTGCATCCGCATTGTTTTCTTCAGAAAGTGTTGCTGAGCACAATGCCAGTTTTCCTTTTCAAAACTTGACTGTTCCCGTTGCGGTGCATTCAACTGTTATGTCATCTGAGTCTGTTGAGCCAAGCTCTGCAAACGTGCCATTTTCCGGTTTCAATGCGTCTGACGAGACCACTGGAACTGTAACTTGGCTAGGTGATACTGGAGCTGGAAGAACCATTGGTTGTGTCAAGCATGTTCCCGAAGATGTTGTTGGAACTTCGGACAATCCGGTGAGTTTCGCGACAGGAGGTGGGAAAAGGGACGGAAATGTTTCTTGCAAAGTTAAGGGCGAGTTTACGGGAGACTCAGAATGTTATCTTCTTGAGCAATCTCCATGACCTTTATCAATAGGTGTGCAGGTGAAAACGGGAAAAGCGTTTATTTGGCTTCTTTCGCAATGCCAAGATGCTGGATCTTATGATGAGCTTCCAAAGCCTTTCTTTGTTTCCAGCATAGGGTCAAAGACCTTGAGGGTAAAGTGCGATGAGGCTCACAAGAGGTATGCCGATGAAGTTAGAGAAAACGTTCCATTGTTCTCTGAAAGGGTATCCCTCAGTCAAAATGTGCCACTGATGCCAAATGAGCCGGAAGACATTGAAGTATTCCCTGAATTCTCCTCACCAATACCTGTTGAACATGAAGCTGCAGTTCACGAGGATGACAAAGAATCTATCAAATATTCTCCTTCCCTCGCACCTGATGATGCACCAGAACCAGTAGGGCCATCCATCGTCAGTGGTGAGCATAACATCCTTCATTTGCCAAAGCGACATGATTGCGCAGTGTGTCAGGAAGCCAAGCAAGATGCATTGCCAGCGCGAAGGATTAACCAACCTCATGTGATGTCGGATGGAAAGCCTAGTGAAAAGTTTGGGGATAGAATCCATGCAGATCACATCATCATTTCCAAAGACCGCCTCAGTGATGGACATAAGGGACTGAATGGGGAAAGTGTTTGTTTAATCTTGTATGACGATTTCACAAAGATCGTTGCTGCATATCCAGCCAAGACGAAGAGCACCGACCAATGCATCCGTGCATGTAACCATTTCCTTGGAAGCAGACCTGCCCAAGAGTTGCACTCCGACAACGCACCAGAGCTTGAAGCTTGTGCGGCAAAGATAGGTTTAGTGCCTGACCTGACAGTGCCATATCGTAAGACTGCTGAGATCAACAGGAAGATCCGAACAATCGAAGATTGTGTTCGATGCTGTCTTGTGCAGATCGGCAACCAGAATGCCGCATGGCCGCTCGCTGTTGAGTACACCACGTCAGCCATGACCTTAGATGTTTGGAGGTCATTGCATGGTCATTCTTTCAATGGTATTAGGTATCCCTTTGGTGCATTGATCCATTACCGTCCCAATGCCAAGAAATCAAAGCTAGGGGCAAAAACGAAACCTGGTTTGTTCATTGGGTGGCGGATAGAAGCTGGAATGAATTGGAAAGGTGTCTACAAAGTAGTTGACCTTGACAATGTTCGTGCATGGATTGCGGGAAAAGCTTCATTATCCGTTTCGACTACCATGACTGTCGTCCCACATGAAGGTAAAGATGTGTTTCCATTGCGATCTGCAGTCCAACGGCAACATGAATTGCTAGAAGACTTGCCAAGAATGTTCGCGGATTCACAAATTGAGGAAGATCTCAAAGCAATAGATGACCCATTAGATGATGATCGAATAAGTAATCCCGAAGCAAATGCTTCTTCAAGAGCTGGCTCCAAGAGACATGAGAAGATCACCATTGAACGGTTCATAGAGTTTGGTCCAAGCCCAGACTGTGTTGCTTGTTCAAAAGGACTTGACAATCACACGCAAGAATGCCGAAAGAGTTGATCCAAGGACTAAGGTACAAATTACCTGATGACCTTCCTCGCGACAGAGATTCATGGAAAGAAGGGAACCAATTGTTGCGATTCCACGATTCCACTGCATCAAGCGAAAGCGTTTGTTTGAACCAATTGTTTGCCTATTCCAAGAGAAAGAATTGGAGTTTGCGCACTACCAAAGAATATGTTGAAGAGGAGGTAACCGAGGCCGAGGAATGGCGAGGAAACACCGCTCAAAGGACGGACTGGCGGCTACACCAAGGCTCAACCTTCGAGATTCTTGATGCAGAGGCGAAAGTTCGTCTATTCCAGAAGTGCACACTCGTAATCCTTCAGTTCATCGGGCGAAAGTGCTGCAGCAGAAGCTCCCTGGTTATGGTACATTGAATGTTGTTGCGACCCCAATTCTGGTTTAGGAGAAGTATCAATAAGGGTTGGAATCTCACACATTAGACTAACTGAAAAGAATGGCAATCTCAATGACCAAGCAGTGATAGCTCAACTTGAAGAACAATTGCGCATGCCACACCTCAAAGGGGTTGACATGTGGGGTTCTTTACCTTGCACACCGTGGACCAGTTGGCAGCGAATGAATGTTCATCGCTATGGCTTGCCATATTTGCAAAAGTTATTGCGGAAACGTGCTCAAAGCCGTCGAATGCTTAAGACTTTTCTAAGGTTAGCAGACATAGTGATTGAACAGGGGGGTCGTGTCCACTTTGAGTGGCCGACGCACTGCCATGGTTGGCGCCTTGTTGAACTCCAAGAGTTTTGCAATAAGCATCAACTACATCTGGCCAGGTGTAACGCATGTGCTTTTCGTAGCGAGCATTTCAAACCTTGGACCATTGCGACCAGTAGTGAGGATCTTGCCACCATGCTTTCTGAACACACATGTCAACATGAGAAATCTCACAAACATGTGCCGTGTGAAGGGAGTAAGACCAGTAAGTCGGCATATTATCCTCCTATGATGTGTGAAGCCATCATTGCGCAGTTGTTTCCAACAAAATACCATCGTTCTGTCCCTGCCATGCCCGTTGTTCCAGGTATGTCTCAATCTCACATCAGGAATGAAGTTGCTCCAGAGGAGTTTCCTATAGTGAGTCTGTCCATTCATGAGTTGATTGACAGAAGGGAATGGATCAACGATCCAGCCGCATTAGCTGAAATCAAGAAGGAAGCTGATGGGTTAGTGAATGCTGGAACTTGGACATATGATCATGTTGTTCCAAGGGCAAAGCTGGAAGCAGATGCCAGAGCATCTGGTAAGGACATTGCGATCGGACGATTGTTGACCATTGTCTCTTGGAAGAACGCTGAGTCTACCACTTTGAAGAAACTCAAAGCCAGAATTTGCTTTCGAGGCGACGAGGTGCGTGATGCCTTTGGCCAATACGCAGAGTTTCAGGAGTTGAAGGTGATTCCCACGACAATCTCAGGATTGAACCTGAACCTTGCATATGGAATAAAGCGTGGTCATTCATCATCTCAAAGTGACATTATAAAGGCGTATATCCAATCAGACCTAAAGACTCTTGTTGAGACATATGTAGGGTTACCTCCAGAGTTGGTTCCTCAACATCTCAAAGGGATATACAGACCCTGCACAAGGTTGTACAAAAGTCTTTACGGACACCCGGAATCGGGTGGGCATTGGTCCAACAAGTTCAAATCAGTAATGACTGAATTGAATGCTGAAGAGTCAGCATTGTTTCCATCCAACTTCTTCATCAAGAAATGGAACTTGTGGCTAACTCTCTATGTTGACGACATGGTGTTGAGTCGTCCAACGAAAAACCATTCTCTGTTCTGGAACGAGTTAGCAAAACATCCCAAGTTTGAAGAACCATCGCCCGTGGGCCGAGTGCTTGGACGAACTCATGAAATTGCAGGCAATACCATCATCTTAAGTATGACCGATTTCGCCGAGGCTTCGTGTCAACTTTATAAAGATGTGTCTGGAGTAAAAGGGTTCAAAGCGGTTCCAACTCCATATCTTGATGAGACTACTTTGCCAATTGATGGTTGGGACGTGACGGGTCAATTGAGTGAAGTCGCTGCCAAAGTGATCATGAAAGGGTACTGGCTTGCCCGTCTGGCAAGGCCAGATTTACTCCATGCCCTGAATGAACTAAGTCGCCGGATCACCAGATGGTCATCAAATGACGACCGTCGATTGTTTCGATTGTTTTGTTATCTTGATGCAACCAAAAACTACAAGATGCACTGCAAACTGGATCCAGATGCCCAATGGCATCTCTGGTTCTTCACCGACGCGGATCATGGTTCTAAAGCTGAACATGGATATTCCACTTCGGGTTCGTTATTGGTAATTGCTGGAGGTTTGTCTTACTTTCCAGTTGTCTATCAATCCAAGCGTCAAACGGCATGCAGCCGTTCAACAACGGAGGCTGAGACAATCTCATTAGCCAATGCCTTGTTTGGAGATGGACTGCCAATGCAACAGCATCTTGAAGAAATCTTTGGGCATGATATTCCAATGACATGCCATCAGGACAACACCGCGACAATACAAGTGATCCGAAATGGTTTCTCAGTCAAACTGAGACACCTTGGCAAGACACACAAGATTGACGTGACTTCTTTGTATGATGCATTCAAAGCAGACAGCCTGGACTTAAAACATTGTCCTACTGATATGCAAGCCGCTGATGTATTTACAAAGAACCTTGAGCAGTCCAAATGGCAACACGCCTTGTCAATGATTGGCATAATAGAAGGATGAGATCAAAAGAACAATTGTGAGATCATTGTTCGAGTGGATCTCGAGAGCAGCGATAACGCGCCTCACCCATAATTTGTTGTTGGTAGTTAGTGGTAGAAACGCAAAAGATCTCACGGCCTGTGACAATCACAACCGAAATAGCATGTACTTGTGAGCACGCTAAAGTCAGTCTTTAGTAAGCATTGCCATTTTGGCGGCTCCTTTGTGCATATGCCTGAAATCACTCGCACAGATGCTTCAATCTCCGTATGAGTCAGAAATCGCATTGCCTTGTGCTTGGTGGAGCGGGTAACGCACCCAGAGCAACAGACCCAAACATCATTGCACTTGGTTGCATGCCTTCCGTATTGCAATTAGCAGTGTAGCTCGCAGAGTCGTAGTAGACTGAAGTGTTTAGCCTCCGCAGTGCTGCAGAACTGCGTTAGCTGGAACCTGGCTATATACAGTGAGAGGGGGGAGCAGAAATATTTGGGGTAAAACCACCAAGTTGTATAGGCTCACTTCCTTCCACCAGGTTCGGGTTTCACTTCGTCTTACACTAATTTTGGCTCAAGAAAAGTTGCAGCCCGTGCTGCCTCATCTTTGGTTCTCGTGGTATTTTGCCCGTTTACCTTACTTTCTTTTATAGAATCATATCATAGCAGTCACCAGCACCATATACAGCACCAATTTGCCCTCAACCTATCCTCAATGGCCTATGGTTCCTTCACCCTCCACACGAGCGTTGCTCAGGCTGGACGTGAGAGGACTGGAAATGGTGACGGGCGCAACCGCAAAGGGAAGGATGATCAGCACCTCAGCTACAGTCCAGCTTTGCCAGCTGCCGGTATCTCTGCTGGTGAAACGCCATCATCTTGGGCTTCAACATGGCTTCGCATGTTGGTGATTTAACACTTTTCACACGCTTGGTGCCTGTGGATAGATGGAACCTATGACTTTTGTGGGCCCTTTGGATGCCACCCCCCCCCAAGAGTAGTCGTGGCATCCACGGGCACGGTCATGGTTTTTGGCTGCGCATGGCGTAGCCACCGCGCCGAGGCCATCGGATGCCCGACGTCAAGGTACGGATGCTATGGGTAGTTGTGGGTCATTGATGCGATGATCCCATCAGTTGGGGTGTAGATCCATGGTTCAAGATTAACAAACTAGACGACAGTGTGGCCCGAAAGTACAACAGGCGTGAGTATAGCTATGATGATCAACATGATGCAGCAACGATGATGCTGAAACGATGATGATGAAGATGATGTTGCCTGCGCCTTTGATACTGCACGATGCGATGTCACAAGGGCGGTTGTCGTAGATACCGACGATTGGGTATCAACGACTTGGCGAATTCTATCACTTTGGATAGTTCGCAAAGCAGAAACTCTAATTCAGTGTCCGTGCTGTTCAAAAGTTCTCTACCGGCTTCTAGACACAGGTCTCGCATCCGGCGCAGAGCTCCTTTACAATCTACGTTCTGGAGCCTGCCAATTTCTTTTCGCAAATGCTTGCGTAGCCGCTTGATGCTGATCGTGCTGTTCTCAAATCCCCGCACCACGTCCGCAGTGCTGCCTGGATGGATGTTGTAGTTCTTGATTTCCCCAGCCAGAAGATTGCTGCCAGCCAAAGCGCCTTCCCCCATAAGCGTGCCACAACTCTTAACCCATGTTGGCACCCCCACAGCAGCGTCCGCTTGACAGGCTTTCTCCACAAAGAATCTTTCCATGTAAGCGAACGCGTTCCTGCCAAGCAATGGGCTCAGCGTCGTTCCAAACATGATGGACAGCGACTTCCTAGACGCCACACAGCCAGCCTTGCCACCTCGCAGTGCGCCATCGGGGCGTTTCAACCCGATTTTCCGCACTTTCCGCATACGACCGTCCACCAGTTGTTGGTCTGGCCAGGCCGTAGCATGTTTGTCGAAACTTTTGGTGAACAGTTTGGACAACGGCCGCTTTCGTATCACCGCCTGCAAGGTTTCCAGAATGCCGTCTCTCGTCACAGGTTTGTCATCTCGCGCGCGCCGTTTCCTCAAGGCGTCCTGGAAACGGTCCACGGTGGTGCGGTGGTTGAACAAAGCGACACCTGCCGCGGCCGTGGCCAGCGCAGACCAGGAAGTTTCCACCTGCGTCAACGCTTCCACGCTCGTCCGCCTCTGTGGCTCCGAGGGCTCGTCGTTGATCTTGCACAGGGAAAGACACGTGGATGCCGGAAGCGACCTGCTGCCAACCGGAATCAGCAAACCGTGCTGGTTGAATTTCTGCACCGAAAATGCCAAGGGCATGAGAAGCTCGTCCACCTTCTCATAAAACGATTTCTGTCGTTCCCGGTCGTAGCCAGCACAGCACGTGTACTTCATCTTGTCCTGGATGCAGCCACCCCGCGGAGAGAAACGCCTTCGCGCGCTAGTAGACGCGCTTCTAACGCGGCGAGCTTTGCCATCGCGCGCTCCTCGCCCCGCATTTTGGTCGGGGCCGAAGCTACGCCAGGCAGAAGCACAACCATCCACCGGCAGACAGAAGAAATGACGCCACAGTAACGCCGACAAATATGATGGTGTCGTGCGCACGGCTGCATCAGAAGAAAATTTCCTTTCAGACATCGCAAGAGCGCATGGCACAGCAAGTTTACCAAGGTACATTCGCAAAAGTGTGTGACCAGAAGCACAAAACTGCGCGTCGCAGCCGCGCAAGTCGCACTTTACCTCACGTTTGGACCTTCGACACGCACCACGTCCGCAAAGGGCGACCCGCGCAACAACCAAAATCGCATTTCACCACACGTTCGGGCCTCCGCAGAGGGCGCACCGGCGACACCCCGCGGGCCACATGATTCGCATTTTACCTCACGTTTCACCCTTCGAGACGCACGAAGTCCGCAGAGGGCGCGCCGAGGACCACCCCAGGACCACGTCATTCGCATTTTACCTCACGTTTGGGCCTTCGACACGCACGAAGTCCGCAGAGGGCGCACCGAGGTCACTACGAATTTGCATTTTTCCACGGTTTCGCGCCTCCGAAACGCACGATCCACGCAGAGGGTCACGTTTCGTGAGCCTCCGCCGGGCCGCCCCGCCGCCTTAAGAGATAAGTTAGAATAGTTAGAAGGAGAAGTTATGTAGGAGTTTTTTCGTAGGTGTCTTCACCTGCATATGAACACCTGCATATGTACACCTGCATATGAACACCTGCATATGAACACCTGCATAAGACACCTGCATATGTACACCTGCATATGAACACCTGCATATGTACACCTGCATATGTACACCTGCATATGTACACCTGCATATGTACACCTGCATATGTAGACCTGCATATGTACATCTGCATATGTACACCTGCATATGTACATCTGCATATGTACACCCCACTTTGTTCCCACTTTGTTCCCATTCTTGTCCCACTTTGGGGTTCTTGTTCCCACTTTGTTCCCACTTGGTTCCCACTTTGTTCCCACTTTGGGGTTCTTGTTCCCACTTTGTTCCCATTCTTGTCCCACTTTGGGGTTCTTTTCCCACTTTATTCCCACTTTGGGGTTCTTGTTCCCTTTGTTCCCACTTTGTTCCCACTTTGGGGTTCTTGTTCCCACTTTGTTCCCACTTTGTTCCCACTTTGGGGTTCTTGTTCCCACTTTGTTCCCACTTTGTTCCCATTCGTGTCCCACTTTGGGGTTCTTGTTCCTACTTTGTTCCCACTTTGTTCCCATTCTTGTCCCACTTTGGGGTT